TGCCAGTCTTATATAGAACCTTCGTTCTCTGAATATCGCTGTCCCTGACTGTCGCGCTGCGACAGTTCGCTCAGTCGAGCTGTCGCGCTTTCATCACGTGACTATGAATACTAAGAAATCCCTGGATCGCTTAGCTAGTCTAAGGATCCCTATTTGCTATAAGGTCTTTCTGATGTGCTTGTCCTTTCAGGGCGCCGCCTGGACTTCACTTGTCCCGTGCTAACACGTGATTCGTGACAGTACCCTCCAACCAGTTTGGGCCTTTAAGCCGAGTTTTTACGGAGTAAAACAAAATTGCTCGAAAAGTGGGGATGTACCTCGTCCTCCTAGGCGTAACAAAGGTTTACGGGGGGTTTTGCCCAGCCCTCGTGAACTCAACATTTATTTCTGCCTGGGAGGAAGTATACGTAATTCACGTCAGTGACGGTCGTGTAGCTAATTATATCCTGCCAAGTGCCCGCTGTGGAAATGCTGCTATTTCAGAGTTCATGTTTAGATGCATGATTATTCAGCAGCCTAATTTACCGAAAACTACTGTCTGAGTACTCTTTTGTATATGTTAAAAGTTCTCCCTGTAGGCTTTCTTCTTTGCCCATCGTCTTCTTTCCTCTTTATTTCATTCATTTTTTGTTTCTTTCTTTCTTGTTATCTTTACAACACTACATTCGTTAAACGTTATTACATTCGTTTCACTTCACAACACTTACCTTTCCTTTCCATTAATATCCCCCAATTTACTATGTTAATTCCAAACATCTTTGCCGTTGCGGCACTTCTTTCCGCTTTAGCTTCTGGGCTTCCGCTTGGAGCTAACAAGGAATTTCTCTCAAAGAGAGAAGCTTATCCGCCTTATGGATTTGACCGCGTGGGCAACAAAATGGATCCAGCTTACTTTGCGGTCGTCCGTGAAGCTTTGGAAAGTTCAGGAGGCAATTTAGCCAAGGCTAAAGAAGCTACAATTAATTGGCTGGCAAATAACGCATCAAAACTGCCAAAAGCACTTCCTCATTCACCACCTCATTCACCTCCACCACCTGCTTCACCTCCGCCTCCTCCACCTCCTCTACCTAAGCAGAACTAGGTTGTGAAGGTCATGAGAGCCGCCCACCCACGACAGCCAAAGCAGAGCCAGCCGAGTTTCAGGGAAAGCGAAATGGGGGGATCTTTTCGAAAGTGGCAATCATCAAGTCTACGATGGTATCGTTCAACGAGCCTCGAACGTCCAATTCTCAAATTCCTAATTAGGACTATACGAAATATCTCGACTTTGCTTGTTCACATTACTACTGGCGGTTTGCACTTATGTCTGCACACATCCAGACACATCCGGAGGGTCTCTAGTGCAGATGGTCAAAGGAACGGGGCGAGGGACAAGGCGAAGGTTCAAGTGATTAGAATGTACAACGACAGGAAAAAGTTGTATTTCAAGAGATTAAAAAGTATTTATCTTTGTTTATCTTACGTTTTGTTTGATTTAGGAAGGTAGTATTGATCGAAGGTCAAGACTAGATACTGTACCATGTATACTATTTTTATTTACTTTAGTCATATGCAGAGAAAAACTACACTACTCAGCGCTACGTAGTATATATGTTAGATTGGAAAGGAGGAGAATATTTACGGTCTGGTTTAATAAAAGAAAGCTCTACTTGTTGGCTTCAGAGTATATAATAATTAAGTCTTTCTGTTGTGATGTTGTTTCGTGGTTATATAATAACTTTCCGACCAATCAGTGAATTAAGGAGTTTTGGATTAACTTATATTAAGTTAGATTATATAAGTTTTCTTACCTTTTTAATAGAATAAGTATAGGAATTGGGTTAGGAAGTTAGTACTAAAATGTAACGAATACTCAAACTGGCTAACTAAACTTGGCTGGGTGTTCGCTGGTTGGTATGCTATGATAAGAAGAAGACTATCGGGTTGTTCACTTGGAAGTGAACTCGTTACTTGTATCAAAGATGTCAAACAAATATGATAAGATTGATAACTAAGTTGAGCACGAAGCTCCTATCTAATGGCAGACGTGCCAGTCTTATATAGAACCTTCATACCCCGCGTATGGTCCGAGTATAGAGTAGTATAAGCCTTCCTTATACTTCCTTATACTCCGGTAGTATAGAGTAGTATAAGC